GCTGTCACAGAGCAGGGACAGCCCCGAGCTGTCGGCGGGCTCTCCAGTTCTCAGAAAGCTCCGTTCCACATCACAGGCGATTAGTTACAAACAGCTTCCTCTCCTCGTGTATCACTTACACACAACAGACAGAAAGGGGTGATTGTTCCCGAAGAGGAAGGTTTCCCCTGGCCCTCTCACCAGGGCGGCTGAGAGACGCAATGGAGAGGAGGGTCTGGGAGGACAAGGGGGCCTGGTCACAGGAAATGAGGACGGAGAGGGTCCTTGCAGTGGGGAAAGAACCCTCTGAGTGTCCACTCCCGGCGGGCAGCTGGCAGGCAGGGGACCACGGCTTAGCAAGGGTGAGGGCAGGAAGGGAAGGCGGTCAGAGCCCCAGCTCAGGAGCCCGGTTCCTCGACAGCAGCATAGCCCCCAGCCATGGGGGGCGGGCAGCCAGAGCACGGCCAGTGTCCAGCCTCTGGATTCCTCCGGAGCTTTGGACACCCCTGCAATCTGCACAAATGCCCTCCCTCGAAGCAGCCACGACCGGCCGGCCTTCCAGCCCTTCTGGTCTCAGTGCACCCTGGACTGGAGAATGGGAGAGCCAGGAAGGAAGCTCAGGCTCAAGGAAGCTGTTGGACATGAGCTATTAGCTACGGCCCCAGAGCCTCCTGTTGCCCTGGAAGGTCCTTGACTTTGCTGTCACCACGAAGCTAGATCCCTCCATTAAAGCAGAGGGACAAGAACGCACAGAGCACCCCTTTGTCATTTCTCTTAGCACAGCTGAGACCAGCTGGCATTTTCACAAAGGGATTTACTAAATACTAAGGGAGAACAAAAGAGAAATAATTACAGAAAACACGAAGAACCCAGCCCTGGCTTCCAAGTTCCCGAGGGCCTGAGGCAAGGCAAGGCTCCTCGCCGGGCTTGTCCGGAGCCCGCGTGGTGGGCGCCATCTTGTTTGTCGCCCCTGAGAACCGCTTGGTCACCCGTGGCCTCGGCTCTTATCTCCCTTCCCACTCGGCCGCGCCCCAGGCCTCCCGTCGGGGTCTGGTCTCCAACCCAAGGCATGAGCCTTGTCCCTTGGGCACTGGCGGGGCTGTGGTGACCGGCCCAGGGCATGATTACACAGTAACAGGAGGCTGCCCGCCCACACCCTGGCCCCACCAGAGAGGCCCACCCAAGTTGTCACGAGCATGGGATCCAGAAGGCCTGCTTCTGAAGGCGGCAGGACATGTGGGTAAGGAACGGGCAGACTTGGGGCCGTTTTCCTATGGGGAGAGGAGAAAGGGCTCTGAGCATTAGCCCAACTCAGCAAACACCAGTGAAGCCCCTACTGTGTGCCAGGCACTGCACAAGGTGCTGGGGATCCAAGACTGAACTGGTGTCTGTCCTCTCCGGGCTTACAGTCCGTGGGAAGGTGGGCAAACCGCTGGGTAGTGGTGAGACCGGGGCCAAGTGCCACGGTGAAGGGGCAATTCAAGGGGCTGCAGGAGCCTGCATGAGGAGCCCTTGGCCCAGTGGTGGAGGCCAAGGTGAGCCCTGGAGCCCACCTGGTGGGATGCCTGGAGAGAAGGTGAGGAGCGCAGGGCTGAGGCTGTGTGGGGCCCAGGAAGCGGGAGCAGGCAGAGGAGACCGACTAAGCATCTTCTCGCCAGTTACTCTGGGTAGCAGGGGGCTATGGCATGTCCCTCCTATAGTGTGGCAAGGCCATTGGCCCCCACGGCCCACTGCTGCTCTCCCTGCCAGCCAGGTCTGGGGCTCAGGAACAGGGTCCGAGAGAACGGGCTAACCCAGGGCCACCTGAGACACTGCTCTAGCACCAGACGCCAAATGGTCATCAAAAGACAAGGCAAAGTCATAGTCAGGAAATACTTCAGAGGTTCCAGACACGAAGAAACTAGGCCAAAATGGGAAAACGAGTCAACATCAAGACCCAGGAAACAGGCATGGAGTCAGACATGTGTTTCAGGCTAAGACCATGACTAATGCACGTGTGGGAAGCCTGTGCTCTGGCCTGGCAGCCTGGTGTGCGGGACTGGAGCTCATGGCTGCTCGGGATGGCAGCTGTCACGGACCAAATTGTTTCTATAGCCACGACCCGCATGTTTACCTGTGTTTGCTCCCTGCAACACAGTCAGCCCCACGCTTGGGGTGAGGGCCTCTCCCTCCTGCCACATACCGACCTTTCGGAGTCTGTCAAACGCCCGGTCTGTTCCAGCAAGCGGCAGGCCCAGAAAAGTTCTGAGACTTTGGCCCTGCTTTCGAGGTTTTTGCAATCTGGATGCTAGAGAGAGCTCCTGCTCACTGGAGAGAGCTTTGGAGAAGGAGTAGCTGCTACCCATCTCTGTCCTTCCCGAGTAGCTAAGTGACTATGGGCAAATTACTTACACTCCCTGGGCCTCCATGTTCTCCATCTTCAAAATGGGAATAATAAAAAACCTACCTCATAGGTTTGTTGTGAGAATTTGATGAGTCGAAGTGTTTGAAGCACCAGGCGCACTGCTTGGCACCTAATAAGTGCTCTGCTCAATAAATATTAGTTCTTTCCCCGAAACAACAACAAGTGGTCGTGATGATAAACAGGTCAACATCGAGCTGTGAACACTGACTTGGCCAGTAGATCTGCTCAGCACCTGAATCCACGCAGCAGCTTCAGTGACCGTTGATGACTGACCTATCGCCTGGATGGTCATAGGGGAACTGGTGTGTGCAAGAGTGTGTGCGCCTGCACGTACGCACGAACTCTCCCCATCCTTTTGCTCCTCTGCCATCGGCAGAAGCAAGAGATTATTTTCTGTGTCATTCTGTGATGACAAAGACTCTGCTCTGTAACTACGGTGTTTTTATCTGTAATAAGAATCAAAAGTTTATCAGGAATCATGCCTAACAACTACCGTTTCCTGCGCCCCAGGCCCGTTAGCAGCCCTCACCTATGAGGCAAGCGCTCTGATTATTCCCTTTAGCTGGCGGCAGCTGGGACTCCGAGCAGGAAAGGGAGTTCTTGGTAGGGCTGGGAAGGGCCAAAGGCACAGTTCCTGGGCGCGGGGCCAGCAGCGCACTTCCCCTAGACTGGATGTGAGCGAGAGGAAACTTCTAGTGAACCCATCGACATTTGGGGGTCTTACTGGTTTCTCTCAACTCGCCTACCCAATTCGTTTCAAAACCCGAGAAGCCGTGTTTGGAAGGGCATGGTTCCCATGTCAGGGACAAAAACACCGACGCACCCTTGCAGGAGCTGCAGCCATTGCCCGGACACTGAGCTACTCCAGAGTGTAAAGGACAGAGCTGCGGCACCCCAAGCCACCTGTACCCCCACCTCCCATGAACATAAACTTCGAGGGACCCTCCATACTATATGCCCAGCAACTTGGGCAGTGCCTGCCTGGAGCACAGTAGGGCTGAAGTAATATGTGTCAAGTGAAAGGATGGATGCATCAACACAAACTCACAAACGTGCCATATATACAGCCCTGTACACACACAGTTATAGGCAAATATGGCCTGTAAATAAATGTTCAAAACATGCAGTTACAGACAAGCATATACAACAGATACTTCAATACACACACTCCTGCATAATACACACCATGCTCCCACGCACAAATCCAAATCCAAGACAAAGACACACACGAACACGCGTCCGTCTGTGCAGGCGTTATGGGCAAACACATACGGTCCAGATATGCACAAACACACAGCGATTCACCTCCATACACATGCACGGTGATTCCCAGACACCCTCCACCATGCCCCCAAGCCCAGAAAGCAGTCTGTCTGTCCCATGAGCCCTAGCATGTTGGAGCTTGTGAGTAAGTCCATTACAGGCCCCGCTTAGCTGACTGCTAACTGGCCCCTGGCTCCTGGACCTCTGGCCTCGGGGTGGGCCAAGCAGGGAGGCAGCATCGCTAGCAGCCCCTCGTGGGTGGGCAGTCAGGCAGCGGACGCAGAGGTCACTGGGGTGAGAGCTGGGGCTGCCCTGGCCTCCCTGCTTCTGGCGGGAATGTGCGCTGTAGGGGCTGCCCTGGCCTCCCTCCTCTCCCACAACCAGCCACCCCCAGCCCCATGCCTGGGCCAACCCATGACCCCAAATCCTGCCAGGTTCTTCTAGCCAGGGAGCCGCGCACAGAGGGTGGTGGCAGGGGTGAACTAACACTTGAGGACCATGGGGGGGGGCACACACAGATGCACAGAGAGATGCACAGTCTCACACAGAAGCTGGTGCCAGCATTCACACACAGAACAAGACACGCACACAAAGACACAGGAAGACATGCAAGTTCACAGTCCCACTGAGATGCACAACCAGACACACTTCCAAATACACCTAGAGACACAGCAGACACACACACGTAATCACACCAGCAGCCAGAGATACCAGGAGGCCAGGGCCATACATGAGTGACATTTGCACATACAGTGGACACAGACACTCAAATCACACAGACACTTGTAGCACCAGTGGGCCGTGACAGTCACACTAACTGCCCACACAAGCACATGGAGAGCGCTGTCGGCACACCCCTGCAGAGCTGGAGAGTTTCTTTCACCTCCTGGGACCAGGAGGAAGTGTTGCACTAGGCCACTCTCCAGTATGCACGTGGTGGGCTCGCAGGGCGGGGAAGACTGCTTCCCACAGGAGCAATGGGATGCCCTGCTGTCTGCGTGCTTGGCCCTGAGGAGGGCTTACGGGGCAGAGAGCCAGCTCGGGAGTCGGGTGGCTTGGGTTTTGTCTCTGTCAGTTACACACACACACTTTTCTGAGAGCATATGTGTATTCAATACATCATGCAGGGGCACTCTTAGAACTTCAGTTTCTTCATCCTTAAAATGAGGTTAATAATCCTTTCCCCCCCGGCCCTAGAATCGTGGGGATGGCATAAGGTGGCACTGTGAAGGGCCAGACCAAATTGCTGCCTTCCTGGTGGTCCCAGGCAGCAGCTTCTGCAGAAGTCACTGAAGTCTGGAGCCCTGTTCGCAGACGGTCGGGCTCCACAGCTGGATTTCCTCACGCCCTACAACGTAGCCAGCCTACGAGTGCGGGGAGACACTGGGTCTTGGAGGCCCGGACGCCAGGCTGCGGGATGGGCTCCGGCGGAGCTCGGGGTTCCGCGATCTGAGCGCCCCGTCCACGCACTGCTGGACGAACGCACTCGGATTCGCGCTCAGCTCCACGCCGCCCCCGCGGCCGGCCCGGCCGTGCTCCGGCCCGCTCCGCGGCTCCCGGGAAGCTTCGTCCGCTGTGGGCGGGGCGGGCCTAGAGCCCCGCCCCATCGCGGCCCTTGAAACCCAGTCGCCGACAAGCTCCAGTCCCAGAAGGGAGCTGCTGTCTGAGCAGGAAGCTGCATCTTCACTGGCCGGCCCGGAGGAGACCTGCGGTCGCGCTGAGAGCCCGACGGACCTTCCCCAGGGGCGCGCCTGCCGCACACCGCCTCGCCCCGCCGGGCGCTTCGCATCAGGTTTCCCAGCCACAGACTTACCTAAGGGGTCCTGAATTCCCAGGGCTTCCAGAGGATGCTCGGGCCACCAGCGGAGACCTCGGGGCAGTGGTGAGGGGACATACAGCCAGCCCCCCCACTCAGCGCTTCTCCTCCTGTACCAGGGGCTCCCCCAGGGGGATGAGCAGCGTGACTCTCCTGGCCTGGGACATCTGAGAAGATGCTTGCTATGAGGCTGCTCACTTGCTTCCTGCAGCTCCTGGCTGGGCTGGCCCTGCCTGCTGTGCCCTCCCAGGTAAGACCCCCCCCCTCCCACTCCAGCCTGGCCCCCTGGTCTTACCGGCCCCTGCACTGAAAGAAATCGCAGACCCACTCCCGGAAGCGGCACCTCCAAGGATGTCCATACATTTCCCAGGCGTCAGGCTGGACCATGCTGTCTGGGAGGAGACCTCAGGCTGGGCTGTCCCAGGCTTCAGCTCTGGGGTCTGTCCTGGTGGGGGCAGGGAAGCCACAGAAAAGGAGGGAGGTTTCCTGTCTGGCCCCTGGAGCCACAGTGGCTTTGCTAAAAGCATCTCTCCACTAATCCCAGGCCAGTCCCTGGCCTTGTGGTCAGGGTCGAGGCCTGTGACTAGGCAGGCGCCCCCAGGACCTCTGACCTGGTCTGGTGGAGGGGAAGCCGGCAGAAGAGGCCGCTGGTGGGAAGGCTGGGTCCTGCCGCTGTCAGGGCCCCGGGCTGAGCCCAGGGCTGGGGGGCGGGAGGGCGCGCCAAGACAAGCGGTCCTGCTGTGCCGTGTCTCCCGGGTGGGCAGCCGGAGGTTGGAGTGCAGGGCCTGGGGAAGTGATCAGGGCCCTTTTCCCAGGAGCGGGGGGAGTCTGGCCAGGAGCCAGCTTGGGCAGTGCGATCCTGACAAAGCCAATGAGCTGCCTTCCCACTACGCTGTCCCACTGCCCTGGGAGTCCCCGGCCCCAGCCCTGGAGTGGGTGGGCGAGGCAGACCCCTGAGGCAGAGGAGCCCCACCAGCAGCCACCTGCTTGCCTGTTGCAGGGCTGGCCAGAGGTGTAGTGTTACCCACAGCACCAGCTCATGGCGCCACCCGCTCCAGCCCCTCAGCTCCCACCAGCTGATCACCTCTCCCAGCCTCTGGCACCCAGCCAAAGTAGGCTGCATCGGACCCAGCAGGGCTGGTCTGGGGGCTGGGTAGGAGGAAGACCCCGAAGGGTTGCAAGATCTTTGGGACACAGAAAACAAAGTGTCTCCAAAAGCCTCCAGACTCCCATCCTTTCCCAAGGAGGAAACTGAGGCCAGAGTGAAGGCTGGGACCCACCCAGGGGCCAGTTAGGTTGTAGCTGGACCTGGGAAGAGAGAGCTCCGAGACAGGGCAGCGAGTGCGAGTGATGGGGGGAAGGAGAGTAGAGGGGCCTCTGTGCTCTGGCCAATGCGCTCGGCCCCAGAGCAGCACAGAGGCCCTTGGTGGTCCCCCTCATCTCTGCACTGTTCTGTCCGCAGCCGTCGGCCTTGCCTGCTAGGGACAACTCGTCAGAGACGGAAGGTAAGCAAGCTGGGTTGGTGTGTACGCTCACCGACTCCATCCCCCCACACCTCTGCAGAGGATGGGAAGGGATGGGCATGAAGGGTGGGTGCAGGGTGGTATTCAGCTGAGGACGGTCTGCAAGCTGGCTGATGCCCTGGCTAACAAAGTTGTCAGGGCTTGAGAAATGCCCCCATCATGATCCAGAGGCCTAGAGAGGTGTACGCCCGGACCCTGGTCCCCCAGAGAGCAGGGCTGGTGCCGGTATACCCAGGGCTGGTCTAGTTGGTTCAGAGCCCCTTCACAGCATGATGTCAGGGGGCAGATGAGGTCTTGGAGAGGGGAGTGGGCAGTGAGTGCCAGGGGCTTGATTGGTGGTCTGGGAGCTGGGTGCAGTGGGCACACAATCAAGAGAATCGGGAGGGGAGAAGGGACCTTCCCAGCAGCCAGCCCTTGCCATTGATTACAAACAGACAGAACATGAGTCGTGCCCTCCCTGGCCTCTCCGCTCCCCACCCCGGGTTGCAGCAAGAGGGAATCTTCAAAGGGCTAGACGGTTGCCAAAGAGACATACGTGTGGAAAGCAGGATGCTCATGCCAGGTCCCCTGCCTTGCTCCTCCCTCTCTGCCTCTCCAAGACGTGCAGCGGGGCCACACACCATTTCTGAGGCCTCCCACAGCGCAGTGGAAGAGGAAGCATGTAGGGACACGCACACGCACATACGTGATAGCCTGTGTGAGCTGGGAACACCCTCTCTCCTGGGTCTCAATCCCTGACTGAATCCCTGAATCATGCCCGAATCCCTGGTGCCTTGAGCACTGAAAAGCAGGAGGTGGCAGCCCTTGACTTGGTCGATAACCCTCCCCCTCCCCCTCCCCTTGCTGGGCCCCCTGGGACTGGCACACGATTATGCTCTCTGAGATTTGGGGAGGAGCCGATCACCACCTCCACCCCTTGTCCTTTTGGATGCTTTTAGTGTATTTCAGGCAACAGCTACTGAAAAAGTCTGAGCCTCGGTTTCTTCATCTGTAAACGAGAGCAGTAGGCTACATGATATTTAAGGGTTTTTCCTATGACTGTAGGATTCTGTGACTCTGTGGAGGGAACACAGGAGTATATATTTTCTGGGGACCAGGGGAAGAGGCTTGGAAGTGTCAGTTCATTGGGGCAGCTAAGCTGCCATCCTGACCCTTAGGGGAGCCTGTACTGTGGCCAGGGGAAGCCCCGTGAGCTGTGGACCCCAGTTACCAAAATCTGAAAATGCCACCCCCTCCTACTGACACCGGACGAGAGACGGCACGGTCTGTGTGTTGCAGCCATGGGTTACGATTACTCTCGTGGTAACAGTGTCGGGCATTTACTGTAATTCTGTGTTGACCACAGACTGTGAACTGGGAAGGCATTTATATCCTCCAGATTTCATAGATGAAGAACCTGAGGCTCTCAGGGGCCCTTAGAGTTGCCTAAGGCCCTGGGCACTCCTCAGCGTCCACGGCTGAGCAGGCAGGAGCTGAGAGTCCTTTGCGGCGGGCTGGCTGTGTGCCCCACCAGTGACTATGGAGAGGACACCTGCTGGGCTTGGGCTGGTGGCCAGCAGTTCTGCCCAGCCCTGTGGCCTCCCGGCAGCCTCCCCAGGAGCTCACTCTTAGGATGAAATATTTCCCTCCTTGAGTCTCCGTCGTCCTGGGTGGCAGGCAGCTGGAGCCAGATAGGAGGCTTGCCCACAGAGCTGTCGAGAGCTGAGACCTCACGCGTGTCCCTGGGAGTGGCCCCCGCGGACGGCCTAGCCCTGGCCTGGTGCTTGACTGGGCCACAGCCTCCACTCCCCTTACCGCCACTGTGCCTCAGGGGCAGGCCTGGGGCCGCAGGAAGTGCTCTAGGGAGCAGCTGAGCAGAGCTCTTTCCTGAGGGCCGCAGCCCACATCTGGGAGTGGTCACCGCTTGCTCAGCTGACCCCTTACTCAGCCAGCGCCTTTTGTTTCTCCAAAACACCCAGACAGTGGTCTCCAGGGATGAATCGCCCTTCTTTCCTGGTGGCTGCCAGGTAAACCAGGCCCAGCTCACCTCCTTGTCAGCCTTTCCCCAATACCATCTGGCCATGTGGCGGATGTCGGGGCCCTGGAGCCTGGGCCCCGCTGTTGCAGTCTGTGCGGTGGGGAGTGGGGGTGAGGAAAGGAAATCCCTTCTTTTGCCGCCAAGGCTCAGCTGGCTCTGCTTAACCTGGCTGTGGCCCCAACAGCCCAGCTGGATGGAAGTCTGATTGCAGACTGGTAGGGGGCTGGGGTACCCCTTCTCTGCTGTGTCCCCCTCCCTAATGGCTGGTCCCAGAGGAGGACTCTGAGCCCTCTCTAGCACTTTGTCGGCTGCCTATCCTCTGCTGCTATGTATGTTTTCCGAGGTGGAGATTAAATGTTCAGAGTTACATAGTGCACATTTTAGACTAAACACACATTCGTGGAGTTAGGACAGGGAGGTGCCCTGCCGCCCGAGCAAAGGCCGGCTTCCCTGGGGCTTCGGGGAGAGGGCTTGTTTCTCACCGGGGGGTCCAGGGAGTGTCCCAGTGACCTGGAGAGGTAGGATCCTGGGGGACGTCTGGCCTTCCTCCCGTCCTGGGCCCGGCCCCGGTGCCCCCTCCGCAGACAAAGCAGGATGGAGCAGCAGACGCCCAGATAAGCATGGTTTATTGCCTCTGTGGCCTCCTCGGCCGGCTCCGGCGGACACACCGCCTCCTGGGTATTTTCCACCAGCTTGCAGCCTCTCCTCGGGGCCTCTGCTAGGGCTGAAGTTTATTTTTCCTCTGAGATTACCCTGAGACTCAAGTCCTCATAGGCTCAGTGGAATGGACAATGGACTTCGACCCCTTCTGCCTCCTAGAAAGGGCCGTGGAAGGAGGTGAGGGGCAGCCAGGTGAACCACTGCACTGGGGCAGAGACCTCAGGGCTCCCTGGCGACCCAGGTCCCACGTCCTCTCCCACCAGCTGAGGACAGCCATCATGTGTAGGGCAGAATGACCCAGGGACCGAGATGTTGCCCTGCCCACGGTCTCGAGGCTGGACTGGGTTGTATAGACCGGAATCACAGACCGTCTGTGAGAGCTGGGAGAGGCCAGAGCAACCATCCATTGCCAGCCTGCCCCTTTCTCCCCAGCCGAGGAAGCTGACATACCCAGAAAAGTTAAGCGACCTCCCCAAGGTCACACAGCCAGGGTTGGGCCAAGACTAGAAGAAGCCAGGTGTCCTGGTTCTGGCTACTCACTTCCTGTGAGCCTCTGTTTGGGACCAGGCCCCAGGCCTTCCCCTGAAGGAGCAGCATCTTTTGAGAGATTCCAGATAGGCTCCCAAAAGCTCTTGCTCACGACCACCAGGGCTCGTGGGGGTCGGGGATGTCCTTGATCATCCTTGGTGAGCTGTCATCCAGTCAACCAGTAATTATGTAGCCTGTGTTTACCGGGTGCTTGGGTCCCTGTCCTCACAGAGCCTCGAGCCTTGACTTGGTTGTAAAGGAGATAAGAACCACCAGTGACTGAGTGAGGCAAGAGGTGGAGCCTAGTGATGCTCAAGGGAGGGACTGCTGTTCATCCTAGAGAAGCTGGAGAAGGCTTTGAAGAGGAGGCGGGGAGGTGGGCTTTCAGAAGTGGGTGGTCGTGGCTGTATTGCGTTAGAGATGAGAAGCGTGGGAGGAGCGCAGCCCAAAGGTGGGCGTCGTGCTGATGTGGCCCCGTTGGGTTCCGGGGCTGGTCCCACTAAAATGAGGGGGCAGCGGTGGGCACGTGGCTGGCTGCAGTTCCGGCTGCCGGGCAGAGGAGCCGGTCCAGAGTGGGGCAGGAAGTACGGACTAGGGCAAAGGCTAACCCTCCCTGTGGGACTCTGCCAGCCAATCTTGCAGATCTTAACTGTGTTCTGCAAATTCCCCAAGACTGAGGAAGCACCGGTCCAGCCTAAGAAAGAGCCCGCAGGCCTCAGGAGCGGCCAGGGCACGCTCCTGGAAGCCCCGAGGGCACCAAGGCAGGTGTGGGGGCCTGAGCTGAGAACACTGCAGAGAGGTCAGGACCCAGGCATTGCATCCCACTGGAATTCTGTCGGGCAGATGAGCTGAGGATCCAGCAGTCTTCCCAGAGGGATCACGTCAGCTCAGAGCCGATGGAGCTCAGATAGACTGAGGGCTTCCTGGAGGAGGAGGAGGAGGAGGTGTGGGCTAAACCCAGAAGGCTCTGCAAAGCCGAAGGAGCCAAGACTGGGGCTTTGAGGAGCGGGCCCCCCGTGACCTGACCCTACCGACTCTGCCCCCCGTAGTGGTGCCCTTCCAGGAAGTGTGGGGCCGCAGCTACTGCCGGTCGATGGAGAAGCTGGTGAACATCGTGTCGCTGTACCCCAACGAAGTGCAGTACATGTTCAACCCGTCCTGCGTCGCCCTGCTGCGCTGCACCGGCTGCTGTGGCGACGAGTCCCTGCACTGTGTGCCCGTGGAGACGGCCAATATCACCATGCAGGTAAGGGAGGGCCTCCTCTTCATGTCCCGCCTGCCCCATGTCCACACCCTACTCAGGGGGCCACGGGACCTGACCCCCAGAAGGAGCCTGGAGAGGGTGGGAGGGCAGCCCAAGGTCACAGGACTGCAGTGCCCTCACCACCCAGCACAGTGACCCTCCTCTCTGAGCCCCCTCTCCTCCTCCCTCATCATCCGTCCCCGGCTCTAGCTTAGCCACACACCAGGACCCAGGTATCTGGTTGTGGATGGAAAAGATTTGAATCCGCTCAGACTCAGGAAGTCCTGGTTATACCGAGTGCACTGGTGCCCTGAGTCTCGCTCACACACATGCACCGTGCTGTGTGGCGCCCTCGCTGCGTAATGCCAAGCACTGTGCCAGACAGGCACTTCATAAACTCTGCCTGAACGTTCAGTCCTTCGAGGCAAGTGCTATTCCCATTGTACAGATGAGGAACTTGAGGTCCAGATATATTATTTCCCTTGCCCAACAGTGGGAGATCCAAAGTTTCAACATCCATTTCTCTGAGCCCAGAACAGGGCCCCCTGCCTGCACTGTCACTGCGCTGGAGGCCATGCACAGGGAGAGACCGAGGCCTCCCTCAGATTCACAGGCCGGTGGGAGGGCTGTTTGCCCCACCCTCAAAGCCGAATGAGGGCGTGTAGTACAAAGGGTGGGGGGAAACGAGGTGTCCGGCCCTCCCCCCTAAGTCGGGTGTTGAAAGAATGTTGGAGACCCACGGCCAGGCATCTTACGGTCCTCTCCCCGCAGATCCTGAAGATCGGCTCTAAGAAGCAGTCCTCCTATGTGGAGATGACATTCTCCCAGCACAAGCGCTGCGAGTGCAGGTGGGTCCCCGGCGAGTGGCAGGGACGGGCCCCAGGCCTCTGGCAGCCTTGAGGAGTGGGTGGTCTGCTTTATTGGGTTAGCCAGGCTGCCCATCCTGCTGCAGGCTACACTTCCTCCCTGGCTGAGGGAGAGCAGGGCAATCAGGGACCAGAGGCCTCTGTGTGTTGCGCGCCCCCGCCCCCCCATCAGGCGTTTTTTGCTGAGGAGGTGGTCCCAATAGTTGGAGCACAGCTACTGAGAAGCCCCTGGGGCAAAGGAAGCCTGGGTTCCTCTCAGACTTGCAGGGGCTCAGGGCGTACCGTCCCCCTCCCTCCCCAAGATGGGAGGCAGCTGCCACAGCCCTGGAAGAGACTCTGAGGCAAGGACATGATAGGCCTGGGCTTAGTCCTGGACCAGGCTGGTGCCTGTGGAAGGGGACAGCCTGGCGGAGGAGCCCGAGGTAGGAGCAGCCATGGTAAGAGGAAAGGGCAGAAGGAGGAGGCACTGGGGTTTCCGTAAGACCCCCACCTGGCAGGGCCTCTGCCCAGCCCGCTCCCAGGGCCCCTAGAACGTTAGTTACCGGCAGGAGCAGGCCCAGCAGTGCCATCCGGGCCTGCGGAGGGAGAGAAGTGAGCTGAGGGGCTGTGCTGGTGCCCTGGGCCCTGGATGGAGCCACCAGACAAGAGCCCCATTCTGGGGCTGGAGGAAGGGGGACCACCACCATTTATTGTGCCCCTACTGTGTGCCTAGCTCTACATGGGCACTTGAATGTGTTTCCTCATTCAGTGTTCAAGTGTTCTTATTCTCATTCAAATGAGAATTAATTGAGCACCTACTGTATGCCAGGCACTGCCCTGGATGCTTAGGATAGAATGGTGAGCAAGACAGACAAGGTCCCTGCTTTCATGACAACCCTGGCTGGTAGGTACCGCCGTCGGCCCCGTGTGTGGATGAGGAAACTGAGGCTTGGTGTGGGTGCATGGTTTGCCACAGCTTGTGAGTGAACCCAGCCTGTCCAACCCCTAAGCCCACCCTTTTCCACACTACCTCTCATGGCCATCCCCCAAAAGACCCCGTGCTGCCCTGGACTCGGCCCTGCTTCGTGTCCAGGGCTCCGGCGCCTTCTCGGCCCTGCACCCAGGCTCTAGGCCCTCTTTACTGAGCGCTCTTGGGGCCCTGCCCCAGTCCCTTGCTCCCATCGCTCCCGGCCGGGTTTAGCCACACAACAGTAGGGAAAGGAACCCTCCCAGACACAGTGCTGTGTGGCGACCTTTCACGCTCCACGTCACCTTTGCCCTCACAGCCACTGTCGGGGCAGGCGGACGAGGAGACTGAGGCTCCATGAATGTCTCCGACTTGCCCGAGACGGCAAAGACATGACCAGGCAGTCCAAGAGGCCCTGGCTCCCAAGGGAGACAGCCAGCCTAGGGCAACATTCCCTGGCCACACTGCCCCGCACCCCCACCCCTGCTCCCCCCGAGAAGACTGAGCCTCTGCCCCCTTCCAACAGGCTGACCAGCGGGGAGACCTTTCTTCTCACTTCTGGGCCAACAGCCACAGCTTCGGGGACAGAGCCAGGACATGCCTGTGACTCTGGGGCTGTGCTCACCGCCCCTCACTCCACCCCTCACCCATTCCTCCTGCCGTTGCCTGCAGCGTCTCTCGTCCCCAGAGCGGGGGTGGCAGCTGTGTCCTGACAGGCAGCCTTAGCTGGCCTCATTCGCTGTCCTTGAGGAAACCCTGAGTGCACCCTGGAACGAAGGGCAGGAACAAGAGAAGAAGTAAACAGAGAAGGCAGGAAAGAACAGGCTCACAAATCCCCAGATTTGATGCCAAGAGGCTGAGAAGTGCAGAAGGTTATGGAAAGGGGCCTCAAGGGGAAATTTGTGTCTCTCTCGGTGGGGTCAGCAGAGTCTGGAGTGGGAGCTGGAGCCCAGAGGCCCCTGGCCATTTTTCCCTCACTAGCTCCATGCCACCCCCTAGTGGCCTCAGCACCAACTGCAGGACCAGGACTCCCAATGTCTGAGGGGAGGGATGGGAGTGGAGGAGCCCCTGCTTACCACCCTCCTGATTCTCCCCTGCCCCTCTCTGTTTCCCCAGGCCTGTATGGGACGTGATAAAGCCAGAAAGGTAAGTGGCTGGGGCTCCAGGCTATTCTCGGGTCTGCCAGCCCCTCTCCTAGCATGGGAAACGCCCAGCCACTCTGTCCTGATGCTTTTGGCTTATTGCAGGAGGAGAAACAAGGGCAGTGGGAAGAGGAAGAAAGAGAAGCAGAGACCCACAGTCTGCCACCTGTGAGTGTGCTGGGGGGCCCAGGGATGACCAGGAGGCTGGGCCAGAGGGGAGCTCCCGCCAGCAGGAGTTAGTGGCCAGGAAGGGCGAAAGCAAGGCCCAGCGCAGTCTTAGGACAGAAGAGGGCGCAGCATCCCTGGAGACCCTAGGGCCCAGGCAGCCTCAGGGGGCCTTGGTTCTCGTCCTGACTTAGTCCGAGTCTTTGTGTGGCCTTCAGCAAGTCATGTTGCCTCTCTAAGCCCAGTTTTTCTTTTCTGTGTAAAATGAGGCATCGGGGCCCACCAAGCGTTTAGTCAGTCCAGAAATATTTACCAAGCACTTACTGCCTGCCAGATGTACAGGTGAACAAACCAGCAAGATGCTTGCTCTGAAGTGCTTACCCTCCAGTGGTGCCAAGTGCAGCAGGCCTGCGTAGGACGACACGCTGGAGCCCAGGCCTGAGTAGTGTGAGGCCTGGGAGAGAAGGATCAGAGCAGGGAAAACCCAAATCTGGGAGAGTAAATCGTAAAAATAAAATACTTCACATCCGCAGTAACTCAGTCACCCACAGCTCCTTTCAGCTCCAAGACACCAGCAAATCATTTCATGCCATGGGACTGGGGCTGGCCTGCGTCTTGCCCATGGCTCCGCCCCTCCCTGAGCAGAGATGTCCACCCCACCCCGGAAGACGGGAATTCTGGGGAAGCTGGTCTCCTTAAGGCACTTGGCCCTCACTCCTACCTCTGGGCCCAAGCAGCAGCGTGGGGAAGGGGCTGGCAGTGTGGTCGGTGCATGGCCCCCGGTCAGGCTGGCCCAGGTGGAGTGCGTCCCATTGCTCCATCTCCCGGGGCAGCAGTCTTCAAGAATCTCGTTCAGGGGCCTCCTGAAACAGTTTCAAAGACTCACATGCTCCCTTGCTCATTTAAAAAAAAAATTTATTCCTCACTGAGAATATGTTTATTGATGTTAGAGAGAAAGGAGAAAGAAAGAGATAAAGAAAAAGAAAAAAATTGATGTAAGAGAGAAACATTGATCGGTTGCGTCCTGCACATGCCCCAGTTGGGGACCAAACCGAGAACCTCAGTATGAGCCCTGGCGGGGAATCGAACCTGTGACCTTTTTGTATACAGGGCAATGCTCTAACCATCTGAGCCACCCGGCTAGGGTCCTTGCTCATTTTTAAGTTAGCATTGAACTTTTCCATCAAAATTATACACGGCTGCAAAGATATAATTTCTGGCATGTTATAAATAGTAATGTTTTAATATAAAGCCACTAAATTCTTCAGATGTATCCTATGGAATAAGACATGCTAATTTAATACTATCATCCACTTTAAAAAGAAATGAACAACAGACACAAAAAATATAAATATTTGCATTGCTTCTTTTTTCCTTGAATTTATATTTCCATTTGATTTCCCCCACAGAATTTCAGTCTAAGTAATTATTTTTTAAATCTTTGAGTCTTTTATATATCACCTCGTCATATATAAAACACACACATATCACCTTGTGCATCTGCTACGATCATGTATATAAGTTTGAATTATTTTAAGTTTCCAACAAACATAAACTCTAATTAAATTTTCTCCTGGAATGAACTGTCACCGTAATTGTTAGTAGTACTAATTGATCAAAACGGCACAAGCGAATTGTACTTTAATCAATGTTAAACATAAAAGTGCAATCCATCTCATCAGGGATGCATCTCAATGAGGTGGGTGTGGCTACCTCTTTCAAGGAGCGAACCAGTTCCGGGTGTTACCCCTTGCCAGATGGAGACAGGGCTTAGCCCTCGTGGCCTCCCTGTTCACCGTTTCACGTGGCTGAAAAGGGTGAGGAACCAGGCTGACGCCAACCCGTAAACGGGATTAGATGTCAGCCACTTGAACTCTTCGGCCTAAGAGCCATCCAAACCTGCAGAGAACTTTTAAACGTTTATTTGAGCCAAACTGACCCTCACACCAGGAAGCAAAACCTCCATGGATTGAGAAAAGGCTCCAGAGAGTGGCGGTTTGCAGCTTATTTTGTACGTAAGAATCACAGGAGGAGATGTGAGGAGACCTAAGGAGGGTGGAATCCGTCGGTGGAAGATTAGGGAGGCAAGAGAAGGCAGCGCGGGGAAATCTCCGGGAATGGATAAAAGTAAAGCAGAGAGGCACGCGCTTGTTTCACACTGGTGGGCGCAGGATGGTCGTGCTCACGGCGCACCGAGGTGGCGTGCGGGGGCCGAGATGACAGGGCAGGGCGGTGGTCTCTGGCTGGAGGCTGTGCTCTGGCGGGTCTGGAAAAGAACATCACTCTGACATTTCAAAGGTATGTTATCTTAGATGCAGGAAGACAGTGAATAGGCTCAGTTACGGTAAAGGCTGACCTTTGTCCAAAAAGCTATTGGCCTAGGATATGACTACTTGCCATGACCCGCTTTGAGTTAGGAACTTGGGTGTTCAAACCCTCCTGTGTGGTGACTCTCCATCTCTGAGTTTGCAGCGCGGGCCTGCAAGGCTGGCCTCCCCTGACCTTATCAGGTTTAGTACGTGGACCCATTTTCATCCACAAACTCCTTGCAAGTTACCTGCCAAAACCTCAGGGGGATCCGCTAACAAAAGTTCCTTCTCATGACCCATCAGCTGACAGTTCAGTCAAGTTCTTTAATTTTGTTTGAAAGCAAAGGCTTGGAAACCACCTGATCTGTAAAAGGCGTGGTTACCCAGTCATTTACTGTATTTTCTTTCTCAACGCCTGCACCAGCATCTCACGTTCTTCTCTGTTCAGTGTCCCCTGGGTACTTTCCCTTGGGGCCCAGCATCTGAAATGGGCAGGATGCTCCCAGCTGGAAAGGCAGTTGACTGTGAACTCTCAGGGTGGTGGGGAGGCAGACCTCTCAGGCAGGCGGTTCTCAGGTGGAACACCAAAACTGGATCCCTTTAAAACCATCAGTACTCGCACACGTCTCCGACAATTTTGACGTGTATCTGGGGGCGCCAGTACCCTCGTTTGAAGACTGCTGTCCCAGAGTGATCAGAAGTGTTAGTGTGGAGCCAGACTGGGTCCATGTCACTGACTAGCTGTGTGGCCTTGAACAGGTTCCTTAACCTCTCTGAGTCTCAGTTTCCTCATCGGCAAAAGGTGGATAACAGAGCCTTCCTCGTGAGATGTGGCTAAGGGTAAATGAGAGAGTGCTTAGCGCAGGGCTGGGCACCGGGGTGCACGCTTGGTGAAGGGTGGCTCATGGCTTGTTTTCGGCCTTGGTGCAAGCAGGGATCCCGGCATGCTGCAATCTCCCTGTGCGCCCTGTCCCAGCTTCCCTTCTGGGTTTGCCCCCCTCCCATAGGAGGGGACCCCCACCCCCACAGTGTGCTGATACCTGCTTTCTGTGCTTGGTCTCTGGCAGGTGCGGCAATACTGCTCCCCTGAGGTAACCGGCCCTTCGGAGGAGAGAGACCCCGCACTGGCTCCTGTATTTATTATCATCACACTCTGTTACCTCCCTGCTGGCACCTGCCCTCTATTTATTAGCCAACTGCATCCCTGCTGAATGACTCGCTCCCTCCAAGATGAGGGACAGGACCCTCAGGAATTCAGTGCCTTAAACAGAACGTGAGAGAAAGAAGGCAGCCATGGATCGAGTATGTGCCAGCTTGGGAAGAAGCGAGACATGCGGCTTTGTCAGGGGCAAGTCAGGACCCAGGGGCACCCGGGGTCTCCGAGGGCCTGGAGAGAGGAGAGAAGAGGGGGAACCCACCGCCTGTCCCTGGGCCTCGGGCTCGGCATGGACCAGCAGCCCTTGCTTTGGAAGCTCCTGGCGAGGATGGGGTGGAGGGGCTTGCTCCGGCGGCTGTGGCCACGGCCTGGCTGAGTGGGGGGGAGGCTGGCAGGGGTGGAGGCATCCTGTGGCTTCCTCCTCTTCCTGGCCAGGGCTCTGCACCCCAGGGAGCAGACCATGCAGCTCTGGAGAACCGTGGGCCCCTGGGGCCTTTGTCACTCCTAGTCCCCTGCGGTCTCTCCTCACATCTGGCCACTGCTTGTTCTTCATGGCCGAGGAAGGCTTCCCACTCTGCCCCTGTCAGGGACGCAGGCAAAGAGTGGGCCCCAGGCTGGACATGGAGCGAGCTGCCCTGCGTGGCTGCCCGACTGCCCGACTGCCAAGCCAGATTCTCTTGAATAAAGTTATTCTAGTCTGGAACCAGCTTCTCCGGGGGAGTGTGTCTGCTGGAGCAGTGCGCAACAGCAGAAAATGGAAGCGGAACAGAAAGTGGGATTACGGGCCCCAAGCCTGCCCCTGCAGCGGCTCCAGCCTCTCCTGCAGCGTCCTGGGGCGCCTTCCTCCCAGCTGCTTTAGGCAAAAAACCCCAGGTTTACTCTTCCCAGAAGAGGGTTCCCTGTGATGTAACCTTGGCCCCAAAGTTGAGGGACCCTGGCCCCAGTCTCCTCTGGATATCTTCAAATTCAAGAGCACAGTCCCCTTCCCCTCCCCCCAGGGCCACCCCACACCCAGCCCAGGACCTGGTCCTCTGGACTCTGACTGAATGGGGGCGCCCTGCTCCTCAGGTCCTGGCCTCCCAGAGGACTGAACTGCACACCCCCAGGCTGCTGAGTGCAGGGGTGGGCTGATGCTGCCCGATTTCCTCTTGCTCTTCCTCCCAGCCTTCCTCTGCCTTCCTCCTGAAGGCCTCAGTGGCATGAAACAAGAGAAAATGCTTTAACAGGTTTCTCAGTGCGAACCACGCCGTGTCAGACTCCCATCTGCCTCTGACCTGAAAGCACACGGTGGAAGCGGAGCTCCCCGTTCTCTCTCACTGCAGGCTGCACAGGACAGGCCCGTGGGGCCAGGGCAGGCCCACCTCGGGCTTTGGAGGTTGAGCCGCGGGCAGCCCAGCGGGGTGAGGTGGGCCAGGGTGGCCTTGCCGAGGCAGCTGCCAAGGTTCCCTGAGGCCTGGGCACCCCGGAGGACACTCCGGTCAGGGTGTGCTTCTGGCCGGCAGTTACACGGCGGGTATGTGCCAGCCGCAGAGGACATGCTCTGCAGAAGAACCCCACTTTCTCTCCTGCTTCTCCCGTCCTGGGTTGCAGCCATTCTGAGCCATTGCCTGTGATGGACCGAGAGCTGAAAATAGCACCCTTCTCCCCCTTCGCTAGGCCCTGGCTCGGCCCCAGGGACCGCAGCCCCTCAGTTCCTGTAGCATAGCCAAGGCTCTAGGCGTCACAGATCACCCATGTGGAACTTGGCCTCCCCACCCAGGCCGCAGGCCCCTGTGGAGAGCTAGACAGCAGTGCAAGCCTCTGCCCCCTCGGCCAGGAGCAGTGGGAGTGAGCAGGAAAGGAACTGGCTGGCCCAGGGGACCCAATGGAATCAGTTAGGCCCTCAGCGGCCCTTCCTGTTCGCCCTCCCTGGGCGTGTGCGGTGCCACCTGCACACAGGACGCTGCCCTGGGCGCCCAGGGCCCAGGGTGAAATGAGGCACACCAAGCTCTGCCCTCACAGATCCTGTGTTTGAGCGGAGAGCCCATAATCGTGTGTCACAGGACAATGGGTGGACTTTTTGTTGCTCAAACTGGTGACAGGACCCAGAACTAAGGAAAAAGGGGCCTTGAGTCCACCACACTCTAGAGCAAACAAACGGTTCGAGGCTGGGCGCATCTGCCTGCAGGGTTTATTGAGAGACGGCTGGAGTAATTCTGCTAGGCCCAAATGTCACCCAGTGCCCCCTTAAGCGCCCTCCATTAGCCAAAGGTCAGGAAGGGTGAAGGGAGGGAGAGGGAGGTGAGGTCGCCAGAGACCCAGGTTGCTGGTCCCTCTGCCTCCTCAGCCTGGAGCTGGATCTGCCCACTGGGGGCTGGATGAGAATTGCGGGGAGCAGATAACTGAGGAGTGACAGGGGACAGAGAGGGGACACTTTGGAGCATCTGGCAGGAGTCTCCCATGGGTCAGGAGATCATGGTGAAAAGTGGGTGGCCGTGAGTATCCTTGCCCACAGTGCCCCAAAAGGTAGGTGCGCGGGTGGGGAGACCCCACAGGCTGTAGGCCGTGGGTGTAGGGTTGGGGCGATGGCTGAGGGGAGGGCGTCAGATGTAGAGCTGGGAAGGAAGCACGTCAGGGAACAGTGCTGGGGGGTGGCCCTGCGGCTACCAACAAGAAAGTCGGTGCCTGGATGCCTGTCATGCCGGGCACGGTCATAGCCTGAGAAGGAAGGACCACAGCTAAGAGGGACTTCCCCCAGTTTCTCCCTCCCAGCCCCGTGAGAAAGAGAGAGGGAAGTGGGGAGGAGTGTAGGGCCGGACCACGTCCCTCTGCGCTCCCCTGAGCCAAATCCGGGCCCTGTCGTGGGTAGAAGGAGGTATTACACTTAAATTGGATGGACCGGTCTAGATGAGGCTGGACCTTTAATAAATTAAAGTGACAGGGACATTAGAAGATTGGCCCAAAATGCTACCAAGAGACAAGAAAAGGAGAATCAACATAGTTCATCTAGAAGCAATGATGAGAGAAAGAAAAAACAGGTTTGTTTGTACTTTCACTGCTCCATAAGCAAGTTACACATGTAAACAAAGAAATTCATCAGGAAACGTCATTGCCCAAATGTGGCTCTGGCGCGTTAGATATGGCCTCGAATCCTCGGCCATCCTCCCCGTGAGGGCAGGTCTCTAGTCCCTCCTTTTCAGTCCGACTTGACTGGGCTCTGCTTCAGTCCCCAGAGTGTAGCAGAAGGGACCCTGAAATACTTCCAAGTTCTTTCAAGAGAACTGGAAGCTCCTGCCTTGGTCTCTTGGGACCCTGAGCTCCCATATAGGAGGTTCAACCATCATGAGGTCCCCGTGTTGGGAGAAAGCCCAAACTAGCCGTGCAGAGGTGTGTGGGGAGAGAGAGGTGCTGGGCCAGCCTCTGGGTGTTCCAGGCTCCCAGCCTGTGCGCTCAATCCGGCAGAAGCCCCAGCCCCGTGGAGCAGAGACAGCTGTGCCCTGACCAACCTGTGGCACCGTGAGATACAGTGATAACAAACTGGGGGCGGTGTGTCAGGCAGCGATAGGGGCTGAATAGAAAGTAAGGAAAGGCGATGAGATAGCGTTTGGGGAAAGGCACTGTTGGCCGGGCAGGCCTCTCTGTGGAGGTGACATTTGTGGTGAAGTCTGAAGGACAGGAAGGAGTTAACTCCAAAACAGAGGACAAGAGTCCAGAGCACTCCACACAGAAGACAACGCCAATGCGACAGCCTTAGCAGGGACCCCGTGTGGCTGGAAGGGGAGGGACAGGAGGTGTGCCATTGGAGGCAGACGGGGCTGGACCCTGGAGGGGTTTGCAGGGTCTGGAGTCTGAATTTCGTTAGAACGTGGAGGGGAACCGTTGGAGGGTTTCAAGCAGGAGAATGGAGTGATTGTTACATATGTTTCTGAAAGACCGCTCTGCCTTCTGTGTGGAGAATGGACCCCCGGCACAAAACCAGAGGACCAGATGCCACTTACAAGGCTGTAGCACGTCCGAGCAACCAGTCATAATGGCTCGGTCTGGGGGGACAGAAGCAGAGAGTTCGGTCTCAATTCTCCGCATGGTCTGGTTTCCCCAATCGTTCATTCACGAACGTTGTTGAGTCTGCTAGGGGCAGGCATGGCACGTCCACGGGGGCAAAACACACTAGCATGTGAAAGTCTCCCCAGCTTCCCACTTACTGAAGAAAATCGCATTCTGTAAAGAACAAGGAGACTAGGAGAGAGGCCTTGGCTGAAGAGCCTGAGCCGACCTACCTAAGGACTAGGAGAAGGCAAGCTGAAGAACGGAAAGAAAAGCCTTCCAGGCTGCATCTAGAGAAAGAGCTTGGGGTCTGGCTGATGTAGAAGCTCCCGATGACTGAGACAGTCTGGGGGGCGAAGGGAGGGTTCTGAAAAGTGCTGCTGCACGTCCTTCACGTCGAAGTTCCTAATGCTCTTGGAGAGATGCTCCCTCAGAAGGCAGAGACCCAGCCCCGTAGGAAGCCTGGATTAGCTGGGGCTAGACAGAGAGGGGTAAGAAGACGCTGTCCCCAACGTTACAGAGTTAGTCCGAAGGGACCAGATCCACACAGGTGACTGTAACAGAAGGCAAGGAGGCCGCATAGCTTAAGCCCATCCCGGCGAAGTTCTGTTGTAGAAGTCGGAGATATCTGAGATGACCTCCGCAGGGGGAAAGCAGGGCTGGCTTTGCATGTGAGCTGTGACTCAAGGAATAGGCCACACTGAGCGTGGGGAGATGCCTGGGGAAGGTGCCCTAGGTCCACGCCACCCGTCAACGGAGACCCAGAGGTGCAAAACCCAGGGCAGTGCAGGGTTTTCACGCGGTTCCGTGTGGATGCGTAAGGTGTGGGAAGCAGATGAGTGAGGGATAAAGCTGGAAGGTGGGCTGGGCCCCGGATACCACCCTGGGTTGTTAGGGATTTGGTAGGCCGTGGGAGGCACTGACGTTTTTAAGCAGGAAAATCTTTTAAGCGGGAGAGTGACATGATCTTGGAATTCAAGGCTGAAAGTAGAGTTACAAAGAATTCATTTCTACTTCCTTATTTTACAAGTGAAGGAGGCAAGGCCCAGACTTGTCCAAAGCCGTGAAAGTTAAGTAAGCCAGAATTTTATTTTATTTATTTTTTAAAAGATGTTATTTATTTATATTTAGAGAGAGGGGAAGGGAAAGAGAGAAACATCAGTGTGTGGTTGCCTCTCATGCACCCCCAACTGGGGACCTGGCCCTAAACCCAGGCATGTGCCCTGGCTGGGAATCGAACCAGTGACCCTTTGGTTTGCTGGATGGCACTCAATCCACTGAACCACACCAGCCAGGGCTAAGTAAGCCAGAATTTTAAAATTTACCAGTCATGGCCCTGGCTAGATAGCTCAGTTAATTAGGGCATCATCCTGATACACCAGGGTGGCGGGTTCCATCCCTGGACAGAGCACATACAAGAATCAACCAATTATTTTATTTTATGAATGCATAAAATAAATGGAACTGTTACCAGTGGCAAACAAGTTCTTGTGGTATCTTGAGGAAAAGAATTTCCTGAGACCTGCATGAGAGGATGAGGCTCCATAAAGAACTTTATTACCTGGCTGGAGTAGCTCAGTGGATTGAGCGCGGGCTGCGAACCAAAGCATCGCAGGTTCGATTCCTAGTCAGGGCACATGCCTGGGTTGCAGGCCACAGCCCCCAGCAACCACACATTGA